GCAATGTCTAGTATTTCAGTTATTTTTGCAAAGAGGATACTGAGAAGCAAAGTAAGTAGCGAACATATTAACAGCTACCGGCTCAATAACTGGTGGAATTTCTACCAGAACCGTCTGGAGTCTCCGTTACTTACTTACTTAAGGGTCCTGTGCACCACCAGCGGTGCAAAGGGCCAACGTGAAAGACTTCCATCCTGGGCGGCTGCTCGCTTTGGCCTTAACCTGGGCCCAGTTCAGATTTCTATCGACTTGCTTAATTTCCTTATTGAGGCTCCGCCGCCATGAACCCCTGGGTCTGCCTCTGCTGCGATGTCCTGCTGGATTCCAATCCAGTGCTTGCTTGCAGATTTCGTTTCCGCCCCGTCGAAGTGTGAGGCCGACCCACCTCCACTTTCGCTCTCGAATTTCTGTTGCTATCGGTTTCTGATGACATCGACGATGGAGCTCGGCACGAATTATATACCGCAGGCATCGGTTGATGAAGACCTGCAGCTTTTGAGTGTTCTCCGCTGATACACACCACGTCTCGCTGGCGTATAACAACACAGATTTCACGTTCGAGTTGAAAATTCGGATTTTGGTGCGTTGACTTATCTGGTTGGATCGCCATACGTTTCGTAAACTCGCAAAGGCAGCCCTAGCCTTCTTGATTCGTGCACCTATGTCGCTCTTGGTCCCGCCATCCGTCGCTATTTGGCTGCCAAGATATTGTAAACTTTCGACCTTCTCCACTGCTTGCCCCGCTACCGTAAAGTTGGAAGGGTTGCCCGTGTTGATATCCAACGATTTGGTCTTGTTGACGTTGATGGTGAGACCCGCCGCAGAGGAGCGTTCGGCTAGGTCATTGAGCTTACTCTGCATATCAGAGCGCCGTTGTGCTAGTAGAGCAACATCATCAGCCAAATCGAAGTCGTTGAGATGCTCCATGGTGATAGGCTACCAAAGCAGCCCACGGTTCGGTACACGGTCAATTGCACCTACCATGATCTCGTCGATTACGATGAGAAACAGTAGCGGTGATAGTATACATCCTTGTCTCACACCAGCGACTACCCGGATAGGGTCGGACAAGGCTCCGTTATGCAGAACTCTGCACGTGAAAGCCTCATACTGCGCTTCGATGAGGTTGACGATTTTATCCGGGACTCCCTTGCGTCTCAGGGCGCCCCACAGATTCTCGAGATTGAGACGGTCGAAAGCTTTTTCGTAGTCAATGAATACCAAATAAAGGGACTCTTGGAATTCATTGACCTGCTCCAGGATGATGCGGAGCGTGACAATATGGTCCACACAAGATCTTCCGGCACGGAATCCTGCCTGCTGCCGTCGGAGAGTCGCGTCGATCTTCTCCTGTATCCGATTCAGGATAACTTTGCACAGAACTTTGAGAATAATACACAGTAACATGATGCCTCGCCAATTGTCGCACACAGTCAGATCCCCCTTCTTTGGGACCTTCACTAAGATGCCCTGCATCCAGTCGGCCGGAAAAGTCGCGGTGTCCCAGATATTACAGAATAGTTGATGCAACATTTGTGCGGATAGCATGGGGTCAGCTTTGAGCATCCCTGCTGATATGCGATCAACCCCTGGAGCCTTGTTGGATTTCATGCTTCGGATAGCTGCTTCAATCTCCTGCAGGGGGGCCTCGGCATGGGGCCTCGGAATTGACGCGAGTGATGCGCCGCACCCTAGGCGGATCATGCTGAGATGTTGATGGCTGGTTGGCCGTCGAAACTTGAAGAAGTTGTTCGAAGTGCTCAAACCAGCGTTTCAGCTGGTCAGTGGGGTCGGTAAGCAATTGTCCAGTCGTGTCCTTCACTGGCATCCTCGGGTTCATCCTTGCTCCACTCAGGCGTCGTGAGATATCGTAGAGGAGGCGTATATCGCCAGTGTTTGCGGCTTTCTCCCCTTCGTCGGCCAGGGAGTTCACCCACGCTCGCTTGTCCCGTCTGCAAGAGGGCTTGACTTCCTTCTCTAGAGCCGAGTACCGTTGACGGGCTTCGTTCTTGGCTCCTCTGGTTCTCGCCCGCTCTATCGCGGCTTTTGCTTCTCTACGCTCCTCAATCTTCCGCCAGGTTTCATCTGTGATCCACTCTTTCCTCTGGGTGCGCAGCTCACCCAAGTTGTTCTCGCTTATTTTTATAAAGGCATTCTTGATGGCCGTCCATTGTTCTTCTACGCTGCCACCTTCTGGAACGTCCGCAACTCGAGTCTCAAGTTCATGAACAAAAGACCTTTTTACCGCTGGATCTTCAAGTTGGCGTGTGTTGAACCGCCGCCCGAGTCTCTCCTCCAGGCGCTGAATCAGCGCCATGCGTAGGCGGAGTCTCCGTTAGCAATATATGAAATTCCCAATAGGAATGTCTGGTATCTCTTTCGGGAACAGCTGGAATCCCCACCGGGTCTGGAATTTCCATCGGGAACTGCTGGAATCCTCTTCGGGAATGTCCGGAAAAAATCAGGAACGTCTGGAGTTTCCCCGGGAAGTACTGAAATCATGGACCGGTTGTTCGAAATCAATGGGAATGGTTGGTATCTCCGTTGAGATCTGGTGACATCCCTACCGGAAATGATGGTTGGTAACATCTAGAATATCAGTCGGGAATATCTGGTATTTCATTCGGGAACTACTGGAATCCCCACCGGGAACGTATGCAAATTGGAATTGCAGTGGAAGCTGCTGGAATCTTCATCAAGAATGACTTCGGAAACGTCTGGAATTGCCATCGGGAACTGCTGGAATCATTGTCGGGAAAGTCCAATATCATTTTGAATGTCTGGTATTGCCTTTCGAGGACTGGCGAAATTCCTAACAAAAACGTCTGAAATCTTCGCTGATATGATATTTCCATAGCGAACTGGTGTAATCCTCAATTAAAGAAAACCTAAAGAACTTTTCAGAAGTTCCAAATCTTGATTGAAGATGTTTAGAAAATATTTGGCCAAATTAGTAGACACCCTGTAGATAGAGAAAGACGATTAAACGTCAAAAAGCTCTATAGAAGCACAACACCTTCGAATTGTTCGAAAATTATATTAATACCTAAATCAATCTTGAAATAAATTGACTAGTGATAGGTCAATTTCCATTTTCATTTTCATTTTCATTTTGCAGCGTTTGGTGGGGCAATGGGAGCGCAAGTCAATCCAAAGCCGAATATAAAGGAAGGGTAATGGCTGAATAGTCTATGCGGACCACTTGAACGCCATGGGAAAAGGAAGGGATTGAAGAGGTCGGTTATTGGGGAGTTTGAGGAAATGACACATAGTACTAGATTTGTGTAGCAAAATGTAAAGAGGCCGAAAATCCATCTCCCACTGATTCATCCTTTCACATATATACCAAATTGATATTTTAAAGCAACCATATTTTGAACAGACAATATATGAAAAGGCTAGTTGCCTCCCTAAGCGGACCCCCCGCATCCTAACTCTTTTGTTAATCTACTTAATGTTATTAGGCTGTCTAAATTTTCTTATTTAAGTTCGTTTGATAATTATGATATCTCATTAGTCTAATTTAATAAATAATTGAAATCTCTAATTTACCTAATCAATCATAACTCATGCTTTATTAAGTACCTAAACTGCTATGTAATCTAAAATTTAACGTGTTTCAAGTAATTTTGACTTTGATCTATATTTATTATATCTTAGATCGACCCAGGTGACACCTTCAAGTGACGAAAATGCTTCACTTTGAAATTAGTTTCCTAGCTGATTTTTAAATTATATAAGGTATATGCTCCAACTACACTCACACGTTTCCACTATGTCGTCCCACAAAATTACGTATGAATATGTCACAATAGAAGCACGCCACAGTGGAAATCCCGAGCCATAGTTCAAACACTTATCCCAAACCAAAATGAAGCACATATAAGATTAGTTACAATACCATGTACAAAAATGGTGTTTAACATTGTTCCCTGAGCAATGCTTCAATGAAAACAACAATGAAAGCTTGTCACGCAAATAGAAGGAGCACCGTTGGGCACTTTCTGAAATATTTCAATAGTATAATTCCCTTGCAAACCCAAATAAATCTATCTGCGTAGAAATAAATAAAAAAGGGTGATTTGCGGCAAAACCCGCCAGTATCGCACCCAACGTCAGTGCCTATACGTAAGCGTACTACAACGCGGCTTTCAAATAAAGGAGTAACAAGTGTGATACTATCACTTCAGGCTAGAACTTTGGTTCTCTTATGCAATGGTTCATCAGAGAGGGGAAGCTCAGTAATCCTCATCGCATGCTCATGACGCTATTCTGTCACGGCATGAGCCAACGATGCCGGACCTAAACCAACCGTCTCTAACGCTCCACTATGAAGCATAAGATTAGGCCCACCCACCAACGTCCAGGTTAAAAACTAGCCAAGGGGAGGGACTAGTGATAGGTCAATTTTTTATTATTAAACCTGCGAATATTGACGAAATGGCTAGCTTATAAAAATGCAAATTTACCGTTAAACGCGTGAACGGCATACATACCCAGTATGAATGGTGAATGGTTTCTCCGTTTGTCTGTGGTAAAAATTGCATTTTTTTGCGACCGTAATCAAAATTTTACTATTGCTTTCATATTTAAATCAATCGCTCAAGAAAACGTTTAAGTATTTGATTTGTACTCAGGTACCAATTTGAGTTCGAGTGTTTGAAGGTCTACAGGTGTGTACAGTTAATTGTACTGACAACTGACCAAGTTAACTACGGAGACCATTACAATTCAAATCACGCAGCTCACTGCTTCCTTCTTGGGTGAAAGTCAACGAAATGCAACCGTTCAAGTGCACCTCCCGATAGAGCCACATTACCCACGTGCTGCTGCAGAGGTACCTATATACTAACCCACTTATCCATGCATTCATTGCATCCATTTTCCCTAACCTTGACTTCCGCGAATAATGGCGTGAGCTTTCTTCACGACCTAAGTTTTTATTTTTCCACCGCCAGTGGGTTGAGTGGGCGTGTGATACTGCGCTTTACTTCCAGGGAAGCGGTGTAAAGTGAACCGTTTCAGATCACTAACTGGGCAAAGACATGCGAAGATGTGTATCACTCACTGACGGGACGGCTGCTTACAACGCGTCTGACGGAAGATGATTTACCATGGCTCATTGCATAACAATTGACTGCCGGTTTCTATTGGCAGAGCAAGCTACTATATGCTAATCGGACGAAACAATGATAACAAATCCGTGTCGAATGGGTTTTCCAAACCATTTGCTTTCCAGGGTGAATCAGAAAGCGCTAACCATGGGTATTTATTTCTAGATGAACATTGTCTGTCTATTCCTAACCTTGAGCCTTGGCAGCGGCTTTCCGGATATTGGTCAGCAGAGCAAGGTACTCGTCCTTGTAGCACTGGAACACGGCATAGACCTGTCCACAGTAGTCATCCGCCGGGACGTTCTTCGTCTGCTGCTTGATGCACTTGTTGTGCTGATCGGCGAAGGCCTTCTCCTCGGTCGCAGCTCGACCTTGGCGAAACATTTGCCACGTATCGTGCATGTGGACCCCATTGATGTCATCGTACACTCCGAGGTTTAGGCCAATGCACCGCATGACACACTTGCTATCGCGATCGTCCGGGAAGTCTCCATTCTTGTAGCGTTCAAGCAGTTCCGCCGAGGGCTTCTGATCGTGTGTACAGACCGAGATCAACCGGTTCACCAGTTCGCCGGCGTTCTAGATTTTCCGGAGATCACAGGTGATGGTAGAGTTATTTTTTTTGGAAAATTGGCATTTGAAGGATACTTACAGCTGGAGCGGCTAGGAACACTGCCACGATAACCAAAAGGCCAAGGACTTGGACTGGTTTCATCTTTACGCTGATATTACTTGATACTGTTCTGATCCAAGCTCGCTGGAACCTCGGCTATTTATACTCGCAACGTTTTCGCAAGCCGTATTGCAGAACAAAAGGTTGCTACATGGGGAATAACGTAACGGCTCTGTAGCATCTTGGTAACCCCGCGAACAAAGATGATCAATTTGGGTGATTGTACTTTACAACTTACCTTACAGATGGTCTTTTCCGTAATATTCAAATGATGTCACTGACTCCAGGTGCGTCCGATCTGATCTGATAGAGCAGATTAAGATCGAGAACTGCAGATCCAAGTTATCAGAATCTGATTATTTAATGAGGCGATAAGTTCGTTGATATTCAGTTCATAAACATGTTCCAATCAAAGTGTTAGTTAGCTCTATACATTTCAAATAGGTTCCTATTACCTTTTTGATCTGTTGAGATCAGTGATGATCGATTAATAATTCAAGCGGTTTTCTTTAATCGTTGTAATGACCAGGACTGGCAGGTTTGTTTACTGTTTCAAGCACAATAACACTGGACTTTCTGCGACGATTATTCACCGACACGTGTTGAAATTCGGAGATTCCTAATCACTTAATCGCATTGATCAGATTGTATGTAAATTTCAAACAGGTCGGCGTACGCATAGCATCGGTCGATAGTTCAAGATATGATTCCTGTCGGAAAAATCATTTTCTAACAACTTCAAGATATCACTGCAACTTTGAACATGGTACAAGTTTCCCGATTCTCACAGACTTCAAGTCTAATTGATTGATGATTGATGATACGTATGCTAGGCTCCATAGCGGATTATTCAGCAATTAAAAGGGTTTTCGAATAATACCGGCCGCCCTCGAACGGGAGCTATCATTTCGGTTCGGACCGTGCAGTTGCAAAGTGTTCCAATTCAGAGTCAGCCAGGGTTCAGTGTAGGGAAGAAGGGAACTTCAAAGGAGACATTTAATTGCTTTCGGACGACAGACGCGCGTGGTGACGATTTTGAACCAGAAACAAAGTGGTAATCGAACTGCCGGAAGGAATGGAATTTGTACAGGAGTATACGGCTGAGGAGGCGGCTAATATTGATAAGGAGTTTACACGGTTGAAAGGTAGGTGGCAGTAATTATATCGATATGTTCGGAAGCGCTCAATACTATTTTTTGTGAAACCAGTGCACTGCGGACTGTTTTATGCACTTCAAAATGCATAGCGCTTGGTGGTCTTTCCTACCTTATGTACGTTGAGAACAAACTTATGAAAAATAAGTCTGAAGATTTAAGTAGGTATACGCAGTCAGAAAAGTAGTGCAATGTAATTTTGAAACCGCCCAATACTGGTGGAAGCAAAAACAAACAAATTTCGAAACACACTTAAAATCCATTGATTTACTATCGTTATGAATAAATACCGTGGACATGGGCTATTCCACGCGTTTTGTAATTCCGCTCACTCGGTTGTGAATTCAGGAGTATCAAATTATTTAAAAAGTATGTTGGTTACGACTTTAACCAACAAATTTCATTACGTTCGGTTTTTGTACGGAGTCGCCCCACTGTGCACTGATTAGCTGATTAGCTATTAGGTTGAATTTTGGAAATAGAGAGATTGTTGCTAGATTTTTTTTTTTTTGAATTTTGAACTTGGGAAAAGTCGTGACCCAATGAAATTTGTTCTGAGACCTCGGACTTGAAAGAATCTTCAAGACATTTTGAGGTGAATTCTTTAGTTCTGATTCTGGATCATACAACATTTTGAACAAAGGTCCATGGAAGTTCTCAAAAGAGTTCAATGGAATTGTTGAGGATGATTCCTAAGAAGTTCTGTGGAACATTTCAAGGGGATTCCGAGTATAATAAGAGTAACTATTCCAACAGAATTCAATTGACAGGTATAAGGTATTTTAAGAAGCATTCCAAACCCAAGTAGAACAGATCTGTCACACAAAGTTGCAGCCAGGCATGGAAAATCATTTACATTCATTTCATGCATTCATTTACATTCATTTGCGTCTAACTTTTTTCATCAACAGCATTCCGCCAAATGTTGTTTAAAGCTTGAGTAGGTTTTGTTATTTGCTACAACTTTTGCCCATAACTCAAATCTGTATCTTTTATGCATCACGAATTAGAGCGGGCAGAACTTGTTACTGTTTTTCAGTGAATGTAAAATACATTCACTGAAAAACAGTAGTGGCTTCTGTTCGCTCTGGTTCGTCATGCATAAGAGATACGGATTTGAGTTGTTAACAAAAGTTGTAGGTAATAGCAAAACCATACATCATTTTGAGGAATTTTGTTGATGAAAAAAGTTAGGGGCAAATGAATGTAAATGAATGCACGAAATGAATGCAAAGGATTTTCCATGCCTGGTTGCAGCAACTTGATAGGAAATCCACAGGACATGGGACTGTTATGAGAATAGCGAAACCTGTGGGATGCAAAGGAAGGAATCTTATGAGGGAGAATTAATGTTAGTGCTAAGAAGAATCCCATGGGAATTGTTAAGAATATTCAAGTTGGTTTTAACCTTCGCGCCCCCTTTTTGTAACACGAGCACTCGCGGGTTGTACAGAATACAACAGAATGCTATTTTTACCTTGAGGGCACCTGATATTCTCCAAAATATTCTTAAAGCATTGGCCTATTGGACATGGGTATTCAATTTCATAAAACATGTTTAGTTTCACGTTGAGCGAGTTTTGAAACTGACTTTGGAGTCAGTAGGCTTTTATTTTATTTGTCATCAATTTTGTACTTTGAACAACGGCGCGAAGACTGAAAGGTTGAAGAGAACATTGTATGGTGAATTTTAAGAGAATTCGAACTATGATTCCAAGGTAATATTGAGAAGATGTTTAAGGAGAATCGCAATATTGCTTTGAGTAGAATCCAGAACTATTGTAAGGAGAAATAAAGGTAAATTCCAAGGTAGTTCTGAAGAAACTATTACGGGGATTGTGAGGAGAGTTTCTGGGAAATCTAGAGCAATTCAAAGTCGTTTTGGAGCAAATTTCCAAAGAATTCTCAGCAGCATTCCAGGATGATTTGGAAGAATGTTCCAAAGGAATTTAGAGAATAATTATGAGGGAATCGAATTCTCAGATCAGTTCTAAATAAATTCCAAAAGATTCTCTCAAGGGAATTTTGAGAAGAATTTCAAGAGAATTCTGATGTGGGACAATACTTTGGAAAACCTCTGATGAATTTCAAGAGCAGGAGAATCCAGAGGATATTTCCTAAATAATTCTAATAAGAATTTCAAGAAAACTCTGAGGTTAACTTTAATGGAATTCTGAGGAGAATTCCATGCTAAGGAATGGAGAAGTTTTCTAGATTCTTAAATGCTCTCAAGGTTCTAAAGTTTACAAAACTATTAAAACTGTCGGACATAGGACATCAACGCACTTTTGAGATTAGAGCAGCTCACTAAAAGGAGTCGATTCTTTTAAACAGCTCTTCAGCTCACATTGGAATTTTAGAAATTATGACACAAATCCAAAATCGGAAAATTAATTAGTGGTTTTAGTGCTTAAAACTGCATAAAATCGTAAATGTATGCGAGAGAGCTACACCTATGTCACACGCGATGATATGATTGACATCGTGGCACACGATGTTACGCCTTTTCTCAAGCTATGCAATCCAGTTTACATTCAAATTTTATTTCTGATGTTAATTCTCCAGCATAATTTCCCTCACTATTCTCGGCATCACCTCCGATCCGGATCCGAAGCTGAATCGTAAAGAATCGAGATAGAAAAAAAAAGATCCGAAGAGCTGGACGGGTCCGAGAGTTGTCATGCTAAACGGCTCTCAGTGAATCATTCGAGTCGATGATTCGGATCCGGAGCTGAGCTGATAAGCTGGAGAGCTGCTTTTCGCTTTTCGGTTATTTGCTTTTGTGCGGATCTTCCGCTCCCCCAGAGAATGATGGAAGGAGAGGTGAGAGCACATATGCTGGAGGAATAACATCAGCAATAAGAGCCGGGTACATAAATAAACTGGATAATACCAGTAGAAAATTAAGATCGTGTAGCACATGTACATATTTCTCTCTCTCTCCTATCAGACGCTTGGTGACTGTTCAATGCGTAAGTGGAATAATGAGTCCTTTTTTGAAAAGTTCCGCTATGATTGATGGATTGAATGGTTTAGACTTGTGATATCAGTGAGCTGATGAGCTGCGGTTCCTAAAAAATGAACCGCGGATCATCAGCTCACTTTAGAGAATCGGGTCTATAGAACAGCTCGGGAGCGGATCACCCATCTCTATTTAAGATATCGAAGTGTGTATGTGTGTTCTTTTACCCCTCACCAAGCTGAGAGCGTTAGACAAATAGAATTGCGAATAATCTAATGCTCCGTAATGATGCCCTTTATGTTTTGATGATTAGTACTTAACTTTTGAGGCAAGACAAGGCATCTTCACCAAGTCTAAGGAAAAGAATATACTAATGTCCACAACAGGTACAGCAAAACATCACATAGACGACCTTATTCGCACTATCTATTCAGGGATAGAAGGAAAAGAAGAGCCATCGCAGCCAACTGAACCTTGAACCGGGTTCCGGGTAAACCCAAAATACCCGCGGCAAAAGCCAGCAAACGATGCCCTGTCGTATTATTTTTTTTGAATATTGCAGCATCTATAAATGCATTTTATTTTATATAATGGAATAAGTTAAATTTTCACTAAATGGATGGATCTCACCCAATTTTGAGCCGGATTCTGTGCTTCTCCAAACATAATGTAATGTAATTCTGACCTCACACTTTCACCACTTCTCTTTCTGAATTCTATACACTTCTTCCATTCACAATACCGATTGCATATACCAAACTTTCACTACCATGATCTTTGCTTTTTTCTTCCCTTCTGAATTTCTGACTTTTGAAGCCATCCTTCATATTCAAAATTCCAAAACAACTTTACCGGACTTCACCAACCCTAAACAAACAAACGATTTAATCAACGCCACCGAAACACTACATCAACCGAACAATCATACCAAAACGACTACAATACCCGAAAATAACTTACGCAAAAAATCTTTTACTTAACAAATCAATTAAACTCTGGAACATTGCTAATTTGTTTGGATTTCATACATAATTTT